CCAGAGGATGCCATGTCCACCTGCTAAGTGCCTTAGCCTTCGGCACGGATGTCATGACCAGCTTGAAGCACCCACCCATGGAACGGACTGTGGGAGGTTCTGTCCCAGCCACCGATGAATTTTACACCCAGCACCTGCGTATGGTGTGTGGGAGGGCTGTTCCACCGGGCAAAGACGTTGTACACACCACTGTGAGCACAGGAGTGCCTAAAATGGGTGTAAGGGCTCGGGTGGCCGACTGGCCCCCCAGGAAAGAGCCTCTTTGGCAGTCAGCAGAGGCAGAGAACTCTGCTGTGCCCTCTGCTGGAAAAAGTCACATTAAACTAGGCTCTCTGATGAGCCTTCAGGACTCGTCGATGCTGCGTAACATCCATAACACCCTCAAGAATCGCACACAGACCCAGACGAATAATTACAGCCCAGACACACTGTATTTGACCTCTGGAGATTACAGAGGCCCTAAGCTCAGACACCCAAGGCAGCGACGAGCGCATCAGCGTAGCAACAGTGACATGGCTGTTGGTGAAATGGATGCAGGCGGGGACAGTGGAGAAGAGTGGGGTCCGAATTCAGGAACTAAATGGTCCCCTCTTCACCGTGAATATGGTAGCACCTCGTCCATAGACCAGCATGGCGTGTCTGGAGAGAACTTTTTTGAAATGCTCAAAGGTTACCAGGGGAACAAGGTCGACCAACGGAACTCCGTTCCAGAAAAACTGGAGGACATGCTGGACATTGGGTCCCAGCAGGCCGCGATTGATCTACAGGACGAAGTTGACAGCCGGCCTCTCAAAGCCAAAGACAGAGATAAGCCTCCCAAAAGACGCACCAAATCTGAGACAGGGGGTGAGTCAATATTACGTAAGCTTAGAAACGTGCGGGGTGAACAGGACTCTTCCAGAGTAGGGTCCGACGTAGAGGACAGCAGGACAGAAGACCTGGGCCCGCCCTTCAAGCCCTGGCTGTGTCAGAACGGATTTTCCCACTACGATGTTCAGAGCTTGTTGTTCGACCTCAACGAAGTCATTCAGTCGCGGCAGACTGCGGGAAAGAGGAAAAACACCACCACTGGGGCGTCTGCTGCTGCTGTAGCCTCGGCTACCTCCACCCTCTCCTCCACCCATAGTCTGCCTTACAGCTCCCCAAGTGGCAGCCAGGAAGAGCTCAGTTCCAGAGACAGTCCTGGGCTGGATGCAGGAGATGAACAGAGCAACGAAATGCTGTTGAGCTGCCCGTGCTTCCTCAATGAGATCGGTACCGATCCCAACGCAAGGCGCAGGTTAACAGCAGGAGGTGCGGGGTATAATAGACTAGTTGGGTGTGATGCGGGTAACAGCGGCTCAGGGACCCTGGGGGTGGACGTGAACTTGTACGAAACATCTGTGAGCACGCACTGCACAAATGCCGGGATAGCTGTGCTCGAAGGACCAAAGGAAGGCCCCAGTACGCTGAGTGAACGAGGCAAACAGTACATCATTGAGCACGTGGACCGCGGAGCGTACTACTACAGGAACTTCTTCTATCTAAACGGTAAGAAACCTTCCTTTATCTGCAATTTGACTCAGTCCTTGCCAAACCATTTCTACCTACAAATGTTACTTTGTTTTCTAAGAATTTTATACGTTTTAAATCTGAAACTGTTATGATCGGGTTGTTTTCACTGACTAAGAAATTTGATTTATACGAAAATGTTTTTTAGTTCAGTTAAAGCTACTGCTTGAAAGTTTGGATAATTGATAAATTAGAGAACTGAGCTGCTCTGTAGTCGTTGGTCGCAATTATGAGAACTGAGCTGCTCTGTAGTCGTTGGTTGCAATTATCGGATTCTTTTTAGTTATATACACAGATCTGGACTGCAGGCAGGTCAGCAACGTTCCTTGTCTACAAATCATTTTATAATTTAAACAATTCTATGCATGGCTGAATAGTCCATTATATTTATGCAAAAGATGTCGATCTAACCTGGTTTAAAAGTTTTATTCTTGCTTGCAAACACAGATCATTTAGTCGACGTCCTGTTAACAAACGACACTTTTCTTTGTTTGTATTGCGTAGCTTTTGTACGTAGCCTAAGATTTATTTCATAATCCCATTTTCTCCTCAGAGCACTGGAACTATTTCGGGATAGATGAGACACTGGGTCCAGTAGCAGTGAGTTTACGTCGGGAGAAGCTGGAAGAGGACAAGGACCACGGGCAGCAATACAACTATCGCCTCATTTTCAGAACTAGCGAGGTCAGCCATAACCCTAATGACCCCCTGCACCCACATCAGCACCGCATCACATCCTGTCATCGCAAAGTTTTTTTTTTTTAACCTGCAAATCTGGAAAACATATTTTGACTGCATCTAAGAAAAGGCATCCTTAACCTTAACGTTCTATTTTTATTTAGTTATTTTTTTTAGATTTGTTAGACTTGATAAACCTTAAATATAAGTGTATTTTAGTGCATTCACTCCTTGGTTTGCAATGGAATTGCAAGACCAGCTAAAGTTGAATCCTTTTTAGTCTTCTTTTCTTATTTTGCAAAATGTCCTGAGGCTGTTCAGCTGTCTCCCAACATCAGCACAGTGTGAAAAACCTCAGGAAGTGCACTCATCATCAGCCTCTAAGGCCTGTCAGTGCTCTGCAACCTCAAAACCCATTGCTGAGAGATTTACTTCTTCTCTCTCTCTCTTTTTTTTTAAAGTAGAAATAGTCTTTCATATGCAGAGTTTTTTGCAACTCTTCCTTGTTTGTATCTGAGTTCTAAGTACTGAGAGGGAGTTGAAAGGATCTTTATGAGACTAACTAGAAGTTAAAGTACACCCCTTAAAACCCTGTTAGGACTAAAGTCTTCAAACCTTCCACCTTCACCTTCCAAACATTTGAAATACTGATCCATTGTGGACAGAGATCCAGGAAAGGAGTCTCCAACTGTTCAGGCGCCTCGATGATATCCGAGTGATTGAGTTCGCTCCCAGAGCCCGGCACAATGCAGTCTCTGTGTGCTGGTAGAACCTCTCCCACCTCGTCTTCTTCAGTTCCCTGTTCTGTTTACCCTAGGCCAAGTGTCATTATTGTCTTGATTCGGGTCAGCTCCTCTGGAAGAAGACGTCTCTGTTTTTTACGTGGTTTTCGAACAGATGAAGTGCTTGAAAACAGAACAGAAATATTTCCAGTGGATTGCTTTCCAACTAGGATGAAAGAAAAACAAGCCTGAGAGTGTTGAAGAAACCTTCATCCTCACATGTGCTGTTTAGCAGAATATAAACCAGATTTTAACTGATGGGTTATATATATATATATATATATATATATATATATATATATATATATATATATATATATAT